GTCAGTAGTTTCATATTCATTGTTTTCATGACTGCTGAAGTTCTACTTCTCCAAATCAATTAAAACAGCTCATTGACCACGAGAGTTAGATAAAATGCGATTATCCGGACGATAATATATTGGCAACAGTATTTGATCGATGCAAATAAGATAGGCATATCCTGTGCGAGTGCCGAGATCAACGTAGGGAGAACAGCCATGCGTCTTCTCCAATACAAGATACAGACTGTTGGACATTGTCGATCACTGACCTTACCATACCTGAGAGGGATAATCATTACACTTACGTAAAGACCCACAACAAATAAAAGAGACTGAAAACAGTGACTGCATTATCATTCCTGATGACAATAATAACCATGACTTTACAGTACATAATAATGATGGTTTGATAATTAATCTTATCATCTTGAAGACTTGAATAAAGAGAGTTTTATCACCGAGTTCCGCATGAAGATTTTAATTAAAGGCATATCAATGAAATTTCTGGTCTAAACATAAAACACAGGTAGAATAAATGCTATAGGATAACAGCATCGCTAAGTGATGTCTCGGCGTCCACTCCATCAGAAAATTAGATAAAATAGGCAAAATTTACCATGATTTGGACTAATGTTTCAAAGAACTGACATCCAGTCTCAAAAACCTTATAATCTTTTAAACTGTAAATGCTCTTTGTGGCCTGTTTGCAAATAATAAACGTGGAAACATACTTATGGTAAACTTAAAAATAGAAACCTCTAAATGTTACTCAACACTCAAGGTAACTCGTGACCTGGACCTCTCGACTCCAGGACACCAGCTGTTGTGTTGTCATAATGGATGTACAGTATATATCAGGTATGAAGCTCTTACAGCTCTCGAGTTATGAAACACAGACAGTAATATACTCTTACTGTACATGGATATGGTACACAGTGGTTTCCTCTCAAGTTCGAGGATGGCTGACCCTAGGGCCACCTACTGTAGGTGGGAATTTGTTTAAGGTATATAAGCTGTCCCCAACACAACCACACCCTAGTTTAACGAGTTGTATGGCCCAGTGTCAAGGAATAATACAAAAAACCCAGACAACCTGCCAAGTGCTCTTGCTAACCATTACCCCGGTACACGATCCGTAAATCGTTTAACTTTCAGGTTCCCAACTATTCCTGGGTAGACAAGTCAAATGGCATTAGAAATTTCATTCGCACGCACGCACGCACGCACGCACGCGAGGGTTACGACGCCTAGACGCTGCCTCTTCAGCTTCCCTTACCCCCAACTCTCTCCCCTCAACCCCTCCTCCCCACCGGAATATCAGCAAGTTCCGCCCATAAGTTGCAATTTCGTTTCGGAAAGGAGTGGAACCAGTGTTGAACAGCGATTAACATTGGTTAAGGCCAGTGACATCAACGCTAAGCCGTAACAGCTAGAGTCGTGGCCAAGTTAACCTTCACACTCACTACTGAGGTCCCAGGATACCCAGAGATAATCGCTCACGATACCCAACAACAGCTGATGAGCAGATAGTGAGGTGTTAACCAGTCTAAGCTGAGAGGCCTGGGAACGGTGGAGGGTCGGACCATCGCACATAACTGTGACGTACCACGACACCACACGCAGTTGAGTGAGGTCCTGTGACACCAGACCACGCGGTGCCCCTATGACACTATGACGCCTCATAATGAACGAGTTGCCACAACATCATGTGAGGTCCGTCATGACACCACCTGTGAGCGAGTTACTGCAAATTCTTCTGCATTTGATTATAACTGGTGTAGGACTGACATTTGTCATGACCCGACCAATCCCGTTGATGTAATTTATATATATATATAGTATTAATTATAATCAACTTACTGTCGACGTATGTTTAACTTCCTCCCCATATGATAAGCGAGAATTACCGACTATTACTCCTCTGATACTTGACTTCACTGGAGACACACTACCCATTAGTCAACGAGAGAGACTTCTAGCTAATATCTTACATATATACTTCAATAAGTATTCCCTGGAAGTTCTGACTAAACCTTAAACTGGTGACTAGAAGTTTATAATAAGTGATAATTAGTTAATAACTGCGTATGATTGATTTATTCATTAATTTAATTTCATCACCAACACGGCAACATAGGATAATAAATGTAAATAAAACAATGTTGAAAAATATAAGTAAAATCTAATCTAATGACTAATAAGATTCAGCTTAAAAATAAATCTAAGACATTTAATTGGATGTTGCATATCATGGTCCTGGAACACTGGATACAACAGCTGTTAATGTCTCTTTTTTATTACCCCAGTCTATCAAGGATGTCTCATTGGGATCGCTTAGTTTGTCATGTTGCGTCGTTATTCACAAGTATGAGTCTACTGTAACATAAAGTACACCGATACTTAATTGAAATGAATCCATAAGGGAGTTACAGAAGAGACCAGTGTTTCATCATGTTATCCCTGAACTATGTATGACTGAGGGTATTACTATGAATTTCTTAGATTATCGAAACAACTGATAATCTACCCCAATTCAAGTGATATTAAAGTTTAAGCTAATCCATTCAGTCTATCGAAAGTTTTTTAAATGAACTGACGCACAAATATCTTCCCGAACCTTTGATAAAGAAACTTGCTCAATAGAAGCAGTCTTATTTGGTGTAACTTTCTATAAAGAGCCTCATTATCATTTTCAATCCTTCATACTACTGAAATATTAAATCAATTGTTTTATCATTTAAAGTCTGAATCGTGATGTGATACAAATGTAAATTGATCCTTGACAGTGCTTTATGCTATCACCTGTATCTGAGCCTCTGAGAGTACTACTAGAAGTTGTATTGTGCCTGTACCTGAATTAATAAAATTTATGAAATGACGCTTAAATTTATCATCCTAATTCAAATTCTTCAATTGAGTGTTTATATATATTTATTTATATTATTCTCACAAGCTTCTCCTTGTCATCGTGCAGATGGCCTGGCCTGGCCTCTAGCCGGGGGCCGGTCAGGCGCTGATCTTCCCAAACTTGACATTGAACAGCTGGTGGGATACACTCATCTTTGGCAGGTGGTGGTGCATCGAAGGGTTTGTTCCTCGGTATAGCAACCAGATGGTCAATTACCTCAGCCCCTGACTACGATACCAATCATCAGAATGTTTTGTTTCTATTATTGTTGTTAGCGCACCTGGTAAAGTGTTCATTTTTATTGCTGAGTGAACTATGGCTAGTAACAGTGGTAGAACAAATGAACGCAAACAATCCCTCACTTCGGTAAGAAATTAATGCTGTTACCATCGCTAGACTATGTAATACTCTATCAACTGAGCCATATATGTACAAGTGAATATTTTGTCATATATGGTCTTATTTCAACCTACTTGATAATATTCTTAGTGTTCTTTAAACAGGTATTCTCAGATTCATTTTTATCTTAACGTATTAAATGAAGTGTAAGTTTCACATTAATGTACTTGAAGTTAGATTACCAAGCGAAGCGAAGCTAAAATCTTCAAAGATTCTGATTTTCAACTTATAGTCCCTCACCTGGTATAATTTGGAGTCTTTTCAATGACGTCTGCTTCATCTTTCTACCATAATACCTTCCTTTTCTTCTACCTGTAAGTTACTATGGTAATAAACATGACATGAGATACTGTAATACTATCACTAACCAGTCCCTCTACGGAACATTCCTTTCTCTGTATCCAAAAAACTCCACTTTTGTACATTCGGTTATAAATATTTTCATATATTTTTTCGTGCAGAATTTGCAACTGGTTAAATATAAACCAGTTCCTTACGACCCCTTGGTTAATAGATATTATTAAATATACTCTGTAGGAAAAAATAATTAAAATTAAAAAAAGGTGAATATCCATTTGAAATAATTTACAACAAATCGAAATCCAAGGAAACAATTCCATCAATATGACAAATTCTTAAGAGATGTAGCGGCAACAGTTTCCCCGTCAACAACACTCTTACCCCCAGGTTCACTTTATGTGCTCATGAATATCATAAAAGAAATTCAACCATTACCACATAAGATCTGTCCTTAATAGAATAATCGCATAAGAGAAAAACAAATATTTGTGGAATTGCAGGAAATTTAAGCATTATTTATGAACAGGCAATCATACTGTCAAACCAGTAAATAGAAGGAAACGCTTGGTCAGTCGCTCAAAACAAGTGCCAAGAAAAAAATAGCAACAAATAGAAACAAAATACCTTATTTAGTAAGCGGTAGTGAAAGAAGTGTATATAAGAGAGGCGGCTACACATCCACCCCTCAGTGTACTTTAGCTTCAGGATACATCCAGACCAGTGTACGTGGCTCTCTCTGTGTGTGTGTGTGCTGACCTTCCCTAGTGACTGTGAGGGGACAGGAAACTAGTGGATTGTCAAAGAGTGTTCCTTGTTGGGACTTGATATCATGATTACAAATTGAAAGATGTTGAAAATATCCTAACACTTATCACCTGTTAAAGCCATGTTTGGCCCTCAAGTAACGGGAGAGTAACTGAGTGGGAATCACCTTGGACCAGAGTGTTGTAGTCCTGAGGTCAAGTCCAGATAGTGGTTGTTAGTTACATTGATATACTCTTTGCATAGTGAGATATTTAACAACATTTTACATCAAGCCCACAAGTAGAGACGCGAACTATAATTATACTTGCATTTCACTAATTAGTTTATATGCTTGATATTTACGCTACTGTTACATATTATAGAGTTATCTGTATTTGTATCGGAGGACTTTAATTATACCTCGGTAAATTTTAAGGTTTCAATTTGTGTTTAAATTTCACGCAAGGTCCGATTTTTTTTACTTTTCTGAGAACCGAACTCGTCTTTTTTCCCTTGTATATAACTTAACTAGATCCTCCAACTGCCTAAATGAATATAAATGTCTATCTTAATTAATTAATCCCGTAAGAAATCGACAATGAACATTTGAAGTTTTGGTTCATAATTCTTAACGTATAGTTCAAGAAACTGGAAGCTTTCTGAGTGA